GGCCTCTCACTGTTGCGGCCTCTCCCGTTGCGGAGCACAGGCTCCGGACGCGCAGGCTCAGCGGCCACGGCTCACGGGCCCAGCCGCTCCGCGGCATGTGGGATCTTCCCGGACCGGGGCACGAACCCGTGTCCCCCGCATCGGCAGGCGGACTCTCAACCACTGTGCCACCAGGGAAGCCCCTGTTGTGTGATTTTTGAAATGGTTTGTGTAATCGAGGATTTCTTTGCTTGCTTTGGGGAAAAAAATCTCAAGAATAAAGCAGGTGGATTTGTGGCTGGCTGCTTTCAAGGGAACTCGCTTCTGTGTGTCCAGATCTTGGCTTCAGGGCCTCCACCACAGAAGCTAGATATTGCTTCAGTTTAACTTTAAAAATCCAGTACCGATATCAGACTGCTTCAGGGGGAGGCCCACACATGAAAGGTTTGACAGCCATATTTAAACAGCCCTGTATAATTGGGATGCTCCAAGGAGCTGACTTGTAAACTTCAGAAGGGAGCCTCATGAACACGACTGTGTTTGGGGCAGGGAGACTCTAGGGTCAAGATCAGGGTCTCTACCCGCTCGTGCATATGTAGGTGGAAGTCAACCCTGGACACTCTGGCACTAGCTGGAAGGGTCTGCTTGACCTGTGGCCTCAGGTGATTCCGCCTTCTGCTGCTCAAAGAGGGGACCCCTTGGGGGTGCGGACGGCCTCGCCGCTGTCTGCCTGGGTGAGAGAATTTAATCCCCGTTGTGGATGACACCTTAATGCACTAAAAGAAGATTACTTATTTTTAAAGCCTCCTTTCCATTTTGTTCTCATCCATTTGGCAAATGGGACATTATTACTCTCAGAGAGGCAGGGGCAGAGCCTGACCCTGGACACGGATTTGGCCTAATGGTCATATCCCTCCAGCTGGACCCATAGGAACAGTGGTGGCATTTTGTTTGGCCATATCAAAACTGATCAGATTGTTGATTCAATTAGTTTTTCCAGCTGAATATACTAAAGAGAGGCCAAGAAATGGTTGGTCTATATGTCAGGTGTTATTTAGAGGGTCAGGAAGCCATAGGGCCAGGGAAGACCCTCCGGGGGGGGGGGCTCTGTGAAAGGGCATTCAGACCTTTATATGTCCCATTTTTAGTGACTGCACTTACTTTCCTGATGTGACTTGAATGGTAATTGTGACCTTTGGAGGCTTGCATTCTAGAAGTTTTAAAGTCTTTTAAAATCTTTGTTGGATTATTTGTTTATTTGCTTTTAACCGGGTGCTTGGGCTATCTGTGTATCAGGAATGGAGCAGTGGGGTAGCTTTTTGTAGAACTGGGTACAAACGGAAACCAAACTCTTTCTTGAGTCAGGGCGCTAATGAAGCTGTCAGTGTTCTCAGTAACATTCTAATTAGCTTAGTGTAGACGTTTCCAAAGAAGTCAACCAATCACTGTCTGGTTTTTAATTTTAAGCAGTAAAACAGCCTCGGCTATTGAGGCAAAGAACAGAGAATTTTCTCCGTGTCATGCCACTTGTGTGTGTAACTCATCCGGCATGAAAATACATTCCTTCTGGGACTTCCCTGGTGGTCCAGTGGTTAAGACTCCGCGCTCCCAATGCAAGAGGCCCAGGTTCTATCTCTGGTTGGGGAACTAAGATCCCCCATGCCACGTGGCTCGGCCAAAAACAAAAACAGGTTCCTTCTAAAAGGATTGTTTATAGAGCATTTATTTTTAAAATGAATAGATGACGTTTCTTATATAAACATTTTTTTGTGCCACTCTTTGATGAGCTCTGGCGATGCAATAACATGAGGAAGATATAGAACTAATCCACATAAATCAGTCCCCTGAGAGGGACTTGACAAGAATGGATGAAAATAAGGGTTGTGCGGTTTTCTGCCAGTATTTGGAAAAGGCAAGATTTTCTTTTTCTAACCCTGCTCTGTCAAGAGCATTTATAGTGGACACTGGAAATGGGCCCCTTGCTGGGGGGCCTGGTATGGTACAGGTCGGGTTCTTGTTGGAGGGGCAAGTGGGCCCCGAACGGCGAGGGTTAGCCAGGGATCAGCAGGGGGACATGTTTTTAGTCTGAACTTTGTGACGTAGCAGTTACCCTGACAAAGTAACTGTTTTGACAGTCTTCCTACTTGGTATTTTAGGTTCTAAATCCACCAGAGAATTAAAAGAATTTTTCCTTCCTTCCCAAGTGACACCATCCAATATGGGGTCAGCAGTTTCCTGGGGAATGTGGGATCCATCCCACCGTACCCTCATCCTCTGCCGACCCGGCTTTGGCCAGACGCACGGGCTGCCTGCTGGACCCCCTCCATCCTCTCCCACTGTCCTTCCTCCCCCTCTGCCTTTGCACACCTGGCACCTGGCCTTCTGGTCATCCCACACTGGGCTTGCTTGGCGTCTTTGCCAGGAGGGTGGCCGACCCCACGTTCTGGAAGGTCTGCTCCTGTAGGAGGACTCTGTGACAGAAACGCGATATTTCTCTATGCGGTAGCAGCGTTCACACTCATCCCTCTAAAATGCTTTGTGATTTATGTCAGGAATATGGTCAGGTTTATTCCTGATGTAATTATTTTGTCTTGTAGGTCTTTAAATGAGCTCATTTTACAACTTTTTTTTTTTTTTTTTTTTGCGGTATGCGGGCCTCTCACTGTTGTGGCCTCTCCCGTTGCTCTGGATGCGCAGGCTCAGCGGCCATGGCTCACGGGCCCAGCCGCTCTGCGGCACGTGGGATCTTCCCAGCCCGGGGCACGAACCCG